GGACCCCTCCGCCTCCCCGGCTTTGCTCCAGGTGTCCCTGGTCTGCTGGAGACGGTCCCCAGCAGACCAGGGGCACCCGGAGCAGCTTTTCTTGCCCTGGAGGTCGAGGTGGCGGGACCGCTGCGCTCTGGGCGGTCCCGCTGCCTGCGAGCTCTGGGGCGAGAAAGCCCCGTTCGTAAGTGCGGATCTGACATAAGTCGGATCCGCGTAAGTCGGGGACTGCCTGTAGTTGTGAACTGCCTGGCAGGTAGACACACTCAGGCAGCGTGAGCACATCTACCAGCCAGGCAGTTCCCACCTAAGGACTGATACACCTAATTATAATAAAACTTACCTAATTAGAAAATACCAGACATGTTATATATCTGGTAATTTCTTAATTTGTTTCCTGGACAAAACCCTCAAATACCAGACTGTCTGGTACAAAACTGGACACCTGGCAACCCTACTACCCTTCCTTACACCCTCCCTCCTAGCCAGATATCCTACCCCCAATCTGCTCCTGCTCCCGCCTCCTGAAGTGCCCATGCAGTGCCGGGTCCCCCAAACCCTGGCCCAGGCTAGGTGGAGGATGCAGCCAGGTGAAACACTGAAAATGTATTCATTTTTCATTCTTTTTTTATATGCATTTATATTTTTTGAGCTGCAAAAAACAATACTGAAAAAAAAATGGGTTCCAACTAAAGTAAAAAGTTTGGGAAACCCTGATCTGTAGTATCTGAACAGGGTGGGATGAAGAGCAATGCAAGAAGCACAACTCACAGCATTATTAAAGCATCAAGGGCATTATTAAAAGTGTGGATAGCAGGAATATGGGAGCACAAAACACCTCTGAAAATTATTTGTTTTTATTGTTGGGAACAAGAAAAGAAGAGGGTAAGTTAAAAAACCCAAACCACAAGCCAGGATAATGGGGCCAAAGGGACATAATATACTCTTCCTCCTCCTCCCATCTCTAGTCATATTAATTACACACATAGTCAACATTTCAGATGTCTCAACTCTATCACTCCTAGGGAAAAGGGGGGAAAATTATGGACCTATTTCCAGTGGTCAAACAGACATTTAGCTTTCCATGACTGATAGAGGGGTACCCACATCACTATCCATCACATTATCCATGGAACACTTTAATGGAAAGCAGAGTTTTGAGCTAACACTTAGATCCTTTGAAGAGAGTTCTTATGACTCTCCTGAAGCACACATTTCTTGGAGACTCCTCCATCGTCTCCAAGTAAGAAGAAACTCTTAGCACTGAAGCTACAGTACATACATCAAGGAGAAAGACATCTCAGATTCAGGACACCTCCAATGCAACCAGTCAAGCTGTGATTGACAGACCTCCATATTGAGAGGTACCCCTGCTTCACCACTTAGCTATGCAGGGATTACGAAAACTACTAACTCAGTTTGTCAGTGAATAGTTCAGAAGATTCTTAGCATATCTGCAAGTACGATTGACCTGAACATCAACTGATTTTTGACAGAAGATACACATAAAAGTAGAGTAGCCAGAAGTACTGAGAAATCTGAAGTGGAGTCCAGGGCAATGGAGTGCTTTGGTTTTTTATTGATAAATGATGCTACAACAGCCTGCTATAACTTAAGTATCAACTTGTGGGCCAGAGGAGAATTGCATGAAAGCTATCAAGCTGGGCCAGCCCTAGCTTCCTAGGTTACTGGGATACAGAGTTGCTCCAGAACATCAGGAGTGCAACAGCAGAATTGGGAGCTGGGGAAAATGCATTGTTACTGTGTGGTACTCACACCACACCCAGCTAGATAGGGAAGGAGTATTGAAAGATGTCAAGAGAGTGGGTTGTTTGTTGGCAGATTTATTCCTACAGCTCTCAGTTATTTGGGGTGTTTGGATGTGAGAGCTATAGGCAGCATAGGGCCAAGGATACTATAGCTGAAGCACCCTTAAGGCCGTGATACGTCCCCTTGGTTTTGACAAGCAGATGCAACAGAGCACATTGTCTTTGGCATGGAAGAAATTTGTTTCAAGGTAGAGAATTTTGAAAAGTGATCCTGACTCCCAATGGGCCAATTACTTCACTTTGCACTGAAATATTCAAAAGGCCTTTTGTAGTTGGATGTGAATTAGACTTATAGGTGGTTTCAGAAGTGATAAAGAAGGAGCTGAGTTGACCCAATCTGAGGTAACCTCTTTCATTGCAACTTATCGTCACATCTCACATATCCACCACGCAGAGATCATCTTTATAGTAGTGTTAGCTCCACGTACAATGAATTCACTTTGCACTGAAATATTCAAAAGGCCTTTTGTAGTTGGATGTGAATTAGACTTATAGGTGGTTTCAGAAGTGATAAAGAAGGAGCTGAGTTGACCCAATCTGAGGTAACCTCTTTCATTGCAACTTATCGTCACATCTCACATATCCACCACGCAGAGATCATCTTTATAGTAGTGTTAGCTCCACGTACAATGAA